TAAAACTTTTTGTGCACTTTCACTTTGATGTATGCGGTTACTCCCTACATTATTTACAGGCCTTAATCTACGGACATCATTCCTACTAATTACTTCTCCTCCATCTCCTCTGACTTCTATATCCCATTTTTTCTACTGTAAGCTGTAAGCTCATAAGCTGTAACATGCACTTATTATTTCCACTTTAAAACTAAAACTTCCGGCCAACTAAGTTTCTAAAACTAAAACTCCCGGCCAAGTTATCTGAGAAATTAAACATCGTTGATGAAAAATTTGAGCCGCTCACTAGTTTCTCAGTCATGGCTTCTTATTTACGAACTGTACTCTATTGCTCAATTTTCAAGGTATTTACCGGTACCTTTGTTACTTTGCATTAAAACTTCGTTTAAATATCATATAGGATGAGTAGTTTCTGCTAAATACCCGATCATAAAGTTAATATTTATCATGAATGGCACGCACGCAGTGCTGCACTCATTTGGGGGCCATGTCGAAATTTTCATAGAAGTTCTCATCGTCGTCGACTTGATTCCCAGTCCAGTTCTCGTATATAGCAGGTTCAGCGATGCCATTCTTGGGAGGAGCTGTAATAAAACTTCCGTCAAACTTTCACCGAAAATAATAAAAGTAGACTAGCAAAGAGAAGTCAATGTTCAAATTAAACTGGGTCAGCGTCTAATATTGCTATACAAATATTCCAACAGAGAGTGAAATGTGTGATAATGGAACCTGCATATGCTTATTCAATCAGCTAACGACAAATTTTTTTAATTCCACATCGATCATTACTACATGAGATTAATCGTTATTTGGTGAACAATAAAAATTAAAAACTCTAAAAAGTTTTCAGCAATACTTTATAGAAAACGATACAAAATCAGCAACCTCGTGACTCCTCACTGACCGTTAAATTTTCTTACTTGCTGAGAAGACGAAAAATTAAAGAACTAATATTGTTATGAAGTAATGAAGGTGTATATATGACAGTGAATGTGATGAACAACGCTATAACTTACCGTACTCTGGCAGAGGCCAGCGGTCTGGAGATTTTCGGAAGGCTTCGTAGCATTTGTTTACGTACAGGTACTGGTCCTGAAATAAAACAGTTGTAAAATTTTTCTCGTAGTTTAACCTAAAGTTATTGATAACGGAGGAATAAAAGTGATAATTTTGCTGCTGTTCCAAGAGGAAATGTGTGTCATTTCATGCCGTTTTTTGTTAAGCTGAACAATTCACTGCTAAATTCTTTATAATTTATTGAAATAACCTTCAAAATTCACTGGAAAGTCCGCCAGATTTCAAACCATCGATACTACTATATCTTCAAGTGCCCCACAAAACAATACGAATTCATCAATTGATTGCACCGACGGGACAAAAGCTTTTACCTTTGTTTGGACAAGCTTTGTTCTGGACTCTCGTAGTGCCAGCACGACGCTCTGAACGCTCGTCTCTCGTCGATGAAGCTTGAACAAATGACACAAGTTCCAGACAGCAATGAAGCTTCCCGTCCTCCCCACACCCGCACTGAGATTGGAAAAAATATATGCGGGTAAGTATGTAAAAAGGTATGAGATATTAGAACTTCGTAAACACGATCAACGAAAATGAGTGATTCGGTTTAAAATTTGACACAATAGCTTGTATTCTCATCTTCTTACTCCGCATTAGGAACGGTGCAAGTAACGAATTCGAGACCATTTTCAGTCGAGTATCGGACAGTCTACTAGCAAAATTAGATCATTCCTAGACTTAGCAACTGATAGGCCTTTCCCAAAAATTTATCCAAATTAGCCAGTATGCATAACCACCGTACCTGCGCAATGCACTACAATGTGCTGTTTGGCAACAATTTTCACATCTGCCAAGGCAGTCTTGACGATGCTGAAAATTCACCCAAATGAGCCTTTTGCAATAGCCACTGTACCTGCAATGCACGACAATGTGCTGGTTGGCAGCAGGTGTCACAGCTACCAGGTCAGTCTTGACAGCGCTGATGAGCTGCAGTAGACTTTCTTGGTCCTCCGGCACTCCGAAGTCTTTCCATGCCAGGAAATGGTACTGCAAAGTGGTCCTGGAAGGGCTTCTCTGTGGGGGAGTATATGAATAATTTAAGCTTCAGATATCCATTTGCATAGGTCTTTGCAAATTTCTCTTTTCACGTGTAACGAACAAAAATCAATCTTTATTTCCTCAAGTATGCTTCATATAACGTTATTTAAAGCTTAAGATCTCAAAAACTTCGAAAATGAGTCATATTACTTCTTTCTAATCTATGATATTGGGGCAGTCTTTTGTTTTAGTGAACGCGTATCGACAGCAATCTTATTTTGATAATACGATACAATTATAAATAAATGATACTGGTGCGCGCGTCGATTACGATTTACCATGATATTCAGGGTAAATCCCAATTTTTTTTAAGTTTACGTGAACAATGGATATGAAAGCATTTTTGTTTAGAGATGCTTACTTACCTAAATTAGGTTAGAACAGTTGTTAAATTGATTGTATGGTAGCTTCTGATTACTTCTTCTTAGGTGTCAATAACCTACATGCCTAGTCTGTGTATCTTGGCAAAACTGCTTTTATCATAGTAATGTGGGCGCTGAATAATAGGCCTGATTTGGCCTGTCGCCGATTCCTGCACTTTTCTCTCCCGTGTCTGATCAACCTCGCGCAGAGATTCACAGCATGCATGAGGTGTTCAGTCCAACTGATACAAATGAAATCTTTGTAAATCTTCTGTGTCTGATCAACCTCGCTCACACAGACCGATTTGCAGTATTGGCAAACTTTTAGCTCTAAGTGAGCTGATTTGATTTTGACATTTTGTCTAGCGAAACTAGAAGGCTTTTCGACTACCTTTTTGCTTCTCTAACCAGAGAAAAACTATGCACAGAGAAAAACTGAAATTTAAGACTGATTTGAGTTGAGTAGAGTTGGAGTTCCGTCGAAAATTTCGATTCCAACACTATTACTGAGCAAATGAGAAACAATGGTGGGCTGAGGGAATGAAGGGGTCGACACGACAGCCGGGTAAAGAGGGACAGAGGCAGGGTAAAAGTGACAAGCCCGTCTCAGGAGAAATTAGGCTCAACCGAAACCAGGCTGGATACAACAATGTGTCCTCACTCACTAGTTTACCCTCTTTTTTCAGTAAGTAAAACAGAGAACCTCTTTTTATTCGCTACCACTCTTTTTTCGTATTCTTCTTCACTGACTTCACTTCAGTCTTTTTACTGAAACGCTTTAGCACAAAATGCGTCAATAGACTTTAAACTAGCATAGTGAAAAGGACAGTTTGCTTGCGCAGCATGCGCGTCCTCTTGTGACACGACTCAACCGCGACTTCTGCTTTAGGATGACCGCTGTAAAGGCGCCGTATTTTGTTAAGCTACCGACTTGTTTTCAATCAATTTTCAAAATTCAAACAATGAAGTTCATATGAGTGATATAAATCAGAGGACAATCATTCACCGGCAGTTCATACTCCCTGTCATTAATGGAGTGAATTTCGTACTAGTATGATGATGCCCTCCAAACAGACATCTCTAACCTCTTATAATATGAACTAAATACCTTATGGAAGCTTCAAGCAAATAAATGGAGAGCTTGATATTTTTTCAAAATGAATTTACCTACAAATGAAAGATTAATAACGAGCTCGAACAGGAAAAAACGAAAGATGATGATGAGTGCCAGCATAAAATGAGACGCCAGCAACAAACTTACTCTTTTTTCATCGTCCAGTTTAAGCTTGCGCACGACGTAGAGCCCGTGTTCACGTTCACCCAGGTTCGTCACACGGAGCCCATCCGGTAGCAACAATGACTGGGATTCTTCAGGCCAGTACTGAGCGCACTTTACCTTAGTATAGAACAGCCGAAAACGTCATGAGCTTTATTATTCCTAAATGCTTGTCAGAAATTAATACATCTCAACGTTTTAGATATAATGATTACATCTGACACTAAAAACCGTTTTCAATTTATAAATGAATGAAGGGGATAAATTAAATGCTTCACACAAATTCTCAAGTTATTGAGCAGTAATAAGAAATGATGTTGCTATATATTGATTTCCACTGCACGTTTGCCTCAGTTTTATGAATCTGATGATGTCATTTCCGAATGAAAGTTATCACAATTGAATAGTGGCATGCAAAAGAAATAAACTGTTAATTGGAGACGAACCTTCCCCTTCTCGGTTGTATTTGTGAGCATCACGATGATGACAACATTTTGCTCTCGAACCATCTGCCAGAAGTCGTTGACGGTTGAGTCTGTCGGGCCTTGAGCGGCGATGAAGGACGGCTGCTCTTGGTGGTCCTGCCACATGAATCTCAGTAACAATGGGCCAACAAATATTCCTTATAAAAATAATATCTTCAGAAAATAAAAACAATATCTGCAATTTTCTTACGACTAATATCACACATCAAAAATTTTCGCACCGATGATAGGATGAACTGTGAATTAGCAAGTTTTCGTAAAGTCTGTTACCAAAATAGCTTTTATGCTCATGGATTTATTCGTGCCTATTGTGTGACAAATTATGTAAAACAGCCACAGTTCCATTACCATATCGTTACAATTCGCGAATAAATGTATAGATCTAAATAGAATTTTAACAACTTTTCCCAACAAATGTGCTAGACTACTTAAAAGAAAATGGTAATAATAGTCCAGGTTGTGCCTCACGACTCGAAAACTTACTAGCACAAAGTTTGCGTTGATGTAGCCTCCGGGGTCCTGCAGCTTGACGATACTGTGGTCATCTGCAGAGTTGAATAAGGTTTGATTTCTAGATTTCATAGATGAAGTTCCATTCCTAATTTCATTAAACTAATTTCTGTTTAAATTAAAACGAATAGATGTTAGATGACATTTCATTCTTCACCATTCATAAATCTATGTTTTTCGTTTTGATTTACCGATGCAACAATCAATCTGTAAAACAAAGCGCTCTTGTTTCTATCCATTTTTGCTTTTAGATGTTTCCCAGGTTAAACAAGATCTAGTATTAACAAGTTATTTTATAATTCCTCTGGATTACAAGGTTTAGTAAGAAATTTCGAATTAAAGTAAAAACATGCCACTTCCCAACGTTGTAACAAATGTAAACAATGCAAGAAAACCTAAACACGAAATCAAGCAAATGCGATAAGTTCAATCAATTTCAGCTCACAAGGCAAGATGTTAATGTATCGATTCTTCCATTTGCTCTCGGGCCTCTCGGCAAGTAGGGTGCTGTAGGAAGAGGCGGACTCTTATATAGTCTAGGTTGTGCCTCACGACTTGAAAACTTACTAGCACAAAGTTTGCGTTGATGTAGCCTCCGGGGTCCTGCAGCTTGACGATACTGTGGTCATCTGCAGAGTTGAATAATTGTTTATTTGATTTCTAGAGTTCATAGATAAAGTTCCATTCCTAATGTCATTAAATTAATTTCTGTTTAAATTAAAACGAATAGATGTTAGATGACATTTCATTCTTCACCATTCATAAATCTAGGTTTTTCGTTTTGATTTACCGATCGCCTGTGAAACTTTTTAGCTTATATAGGCATTCACATGGAAGCATTTTGTATTTTTTTTCTCAAAATTCTTGCCATTTCTTGTTATGAATTTTTTTTGTATGCTCCTGTGTGAATAAAGAAAGAAAAGAAAGAAAGAACAATCAATCTATAAAACAAAGTGCTCTTGTTTCTATCCATTTTTGTTTTTAGATGTTTGCCAGGTTAAACAAGATCTAATATTAACTAGTTATTTTATAATTCTTCTGGATTATAAGGTTAAGTAAGAAATTTCGAATTAAAGTAATAACATGCCACTTCCCAACGTTGTAAAAAATGTGAACAAAGCAAGAAAACCTAAACACGAAATCAAGCAAATGCGACAAGTTCAATCAGTTTCAGCTCACAAGGCAAGATGTTAATGTATCTATTCTTCCATTTGCTCTCGGGCCTCTCGGCAAGTAGGGTGCTGTAGGAAGAGGCGGATTCTTCGATGGCAGTGAACTCTTTGTACTTGGCTTCTTCCCAGGAGTCAGCCAGTGGCCACTTCTGCTGTCTCGACACGTACTCGGCGTAGCATCGGTACACGAACAAGAGTTGCTCCTGTAGACAACAAATTAAATAGAACTAACCGATCGTTCTGACAAAATATTTTATAACAGATACTGGTACTTTCGATGAGGCATGAGGCTATCGAGAAACTCGGATCAATATAGGTCGTTTCAACCAGATTTAAGATTACTGGAACCATTATTTCAGATGTGGTATCAGGTTAGATGAGTTTTTTCAACTGACAAAACATGACTAAGGAGTGAATAGTCCTATTGAGAAGTTCTTGTGAAATATTAGTTTCCGTCAGCCGGTAATTAAACGACAACGAGAAACCACAGCTGGTGATGTCATATGCATCACAGGTTTTTGATCGCGCAAAAAATTGCTGCGACACCAGTTGGCCCTGTCGTTAAACAGAACAGGAATAAATAAAATATATAATTTATTTACAAAATAAACTGAAATATTTTACTACTGTTTGAGATCCCTGTCAATGATAATTAAGAATAAACAAAACATCCCGTCCGTTTCAATGCGGTAGAAAAAAATGTTACTTGCGCTCTAGCTTGTACCTTGGTCTGCACCATGTTGCATCTGCGCTCCCTCATTGCCAGAACTTCTCGCTGAACGTCCGAAACCTCGAGGGTTCTTTTGTACTGATGACATAAATTCCACACACATATGAAGGTACCTGTTCTCCCGACACCAGCACTGCACGAACATATAAATCAGGTCAGCATAAATCAGGTTACATTTTGAGACAAATCGTGCTTCGATAAACTGAAAATTTTTTCTTCACTTCTTTCTTCGTAAAAAACTGTACTAACAATCTAATTTTCCCAAAAAATTCATATAGAAACATTTGAATGTCAGGTTCACACTATATTTTATAAAGAATTTACATTTGGTTCCACAGTCACCTCAAATAAAATAGAAAAGATATTTAGGCGGCTCATTTCTGCTCAAATCCCCTAAAATGGGTAATATTTTTGATCGCTCTGATGTTGGCAATAGAAATGTTCCATAATGTAAATAATGTATGTTTTGATTTAATTACGAGTGCATTAGCCAAAGGCGCGATTTAGGCTTTATACACAACGAGGCTTATAGCAAGACAAATAAACTTACTGGCATCATCCACACATTCCTGATAATTTTTGATCTGAGAACGCAAAATTGAGAAATTTTTAATGGCTGATGGCTTTACGACTCTCGGGCATTTACATTTTTTCGGCCCCTGACCTGCAGTGCACAACCATGTGTGAGTCCGATGCTTGAGCCTCCCTGCTCATTTCCTTCGTGATGTCCCCAATAAACGTGAGGATAACACCCGGGTCTTGAGGCACGCCGAAGTCTGGCCACGCCTGGAAGTGGTACTGCTTGACGGACCGTAGATGACGATGCTGCGAGAAAAGGTACAATAAAGTGCACGTATCTTAACAAGAGTTGATCTTTTCTACGTTTATCTTAAGAACTATTTAAGACTTAGAAACTCGAGACAAATTCGAGACTTTTAGATATATTTAAAAATTCGACAAATTTACTTTAAAGTAACTTGTGCCTCTGTTCCTCACCTGAGCATCGGTGATGCGCAAGTCACGAATGGTGTAATCAGCCTGCTGCTGCTCCCCAGCGTTGAAAATAAACAGGTTGGGTGCGGCCTCCAATATCTTATTCTCTTCTGGCCAATATTGATGGCATTTGACCTGTTCAAAAACAATTTTGAAAAGGCATGAAAGAATGACGATTTTCTGAATGTTTAAAAGTTCTATAAACCACACATTTGTTCACATCGAAATAGATGCATTCAATTATTAATTATTTCGATTGTTTAATGAAATTGGGCCATTCATTCGAACTGAAATCCAATAATAATAATTATGTCCACAATGTAGTGTATTGCTGGTCCTTTTAACTATAGTTATTCATTTTTGCAAGTTAGTCAGATTCCATAAACAATTTGAATTGAAAATAAAATCGGGTAAGTTGTGACACTAATGAAACATGTTTTTTTATGTTTATCGAAATTTATTGTTTAGTACAAATGGTGAAACGGATTGAATTAAGAACTTTGATCGCTTATTACCTTATTCTTTTCAAGGCAGTTAGTGAGCATTATGATGAAATTGACGTTCTGTTCGAGCATCATCTGCCACCAGTCGGTAAGGGTGCTCTGCAGAGGACCTTGTGCGGCGATGAAATAATCCGATTGGTCGTAATTCTGGGAATGTTAACTTAATTATTATTGAATAATAGTTGGGAATTATAATTATTAAATAATAATTAACAGTGGTATGGAACACAAAATTAGAATATTTCTACGGTGATATGTAATTTCAAAAGAGTACAGTTGGAAAAAAGTTCAAAATGGTATGTAAGATGTATACTTTGAAAATGTGACATATACAGTTTGGAAATCTCAAATATTATTCGTACAAATAAAAATATCTACTGTTTTTAAAGAAGTCGGTGAATACCAAGCACTGCGAAAAAAATATAAATATATAAAATTCTCTTAAGATGTGCTCGTTGAACAATGTATCTTTGTGTGAGAAAAATGTTGATACTTTTTGTTAGAACAGATTATGTTTGCACACAAACGTTCAGTGATAATGATAATGTTCACCGATATTTTTAACTTCCAACTTACCCTGATGTAATTCGCGTTGATGTAGTCACCGTAACTTCCCAACATCACCCTGGAGTTGTCGTCTGTGAACCAAATCATCTTAATCAATAAATTATCCTTGTCGTTGAAAAATATGCTTTCTTATCACTTCCAGCAACCAGGTAATCTGTTTCGTTCATTATTTAAAAATCATTCGATATATTGGCAATATTTTTTTCCGATTGTGCAATTGGTGAAATAAGTTTCACGCAATGTCTCTTACTCAATTTCCTCAAAAATGTGACTTTTAAACAAATAACGTTTCAAAATTGAGAGGTTGAAAAACCTTCTACTCTAACTTAGTAATAATGTTTCCAACAGTTTATTTGGAGTTTAATATCTTCTCATTAAATGTTTAATGAAAATGAAATAGCATCGCGACTAGTTTACAGGCAAGGATGTTGATGAAGCGGTTCTTGGATGGGTTCGCCGCCGCGACTTCTGTCGTGCCGGCGTAGGAGATGCCTCGGAGGTTCGAAAATTCCTGCAGCAGAAGAAGGCCATCCGACTCTTGCATATCCTGCCAAGAAGTCGCATTTAAACTGTATTACTAATTGAATGCGAAAGTTGAAATCATTCAATTCACTTTAGACGTCAGATTATGAAACTAAGTCTTAAACATTCTAAAAATGTAAATGATCTTCATATTACAAAGTAGGAGATGCTGTTGGCACGTTCTGTCTTTTTAATGCGTTTCAATGAATGTCATGTTTGAATGCTGATCGCCTGGATGCTACAATAACAATTTTTATTAAATCGTGCTGAAATTTTGAGCCACTTTACCTATGGGCATATTTATTTCATATATCCACTGATATAATGTCTGACTCATTCTAAAAGCAGGTTTACACTTTTTTGCATAGAGGATTTTTATTTCACTTCAATATGGAGAGAAAAAAAACTTTCGCTTTCACTTAAAGATGAAGATTATGGTTACATTGGCCATGACCTTGCTCATTCTCATTGATTCTCTGTAATAATTCACCAAATATCATTCTCTAGTTTTTAAATAAATATCTCCCGAAAGAGAAAAGTTGGTACTATCGCCCCACACATAGGAAATTGTCATTTTCCAAGTGGGATGGTTATTGGTTCCGTGGTGAAGAAGGTTGAGTGATCAAAACATGTTTGATCACTCAACCAAATAGTGTTGATCACTATTTGGAAGTCACTTTTTAGATTTACACGTGGCAGCCAGGAAGAAAAAGTAAAACATTGATAAATTCGAGAGAAACTCAAATAAAAGCCCATGGGATATGGTCAACTTTTGGGAATATGTTTGAACAGCATGCCGGGAGCAACAGGAGATCGAAACTAAACTCTCTCTATTTATCAAACCGTTAGAGTCCCGAGAATACTGCATTGTTGATATGACCCATCCAGATATGCGACAGATCCAGCTCTAACGCAAATTTGTTGGAATAAGTTCACACTGAATATTATAGATGAAAAATATTTATTATTAGACTTACATTTATTTTACGCCATAAACCGGCTCCTGGTCCAGAGCTGGTTAACGTTGGAAAAACTTCAGTAACTGTTGTCGCGCTTCCGTTGCTGTGTATGTAATTAAAAAATTCACATTTAAAAATAATCAAATTATTATTCAGAACCCTAACATCAAACATTCAGAATCAAATGAGACGTACCTAATGAAAAATTCTTCGGATACTGAGGCATATTGGAACTTAAAAAAATATTTCCAAAAATATCATAAAAATTTTTAAATTTTCAGCTATTAAAAGATTGAACAAACACCTACGCTGCGATAGAGGCCATTAATAACACGTGTTGAGCTCATAGTTAACCTATTATGTTGATGAGCTCATTTAATCATATCAATTCTACGGAATTTGGTCTCAATATTTCGGTTACTCAAGCATTATTTCCAGGCCGCTAGCTTATTGACGATCACAAGGGGGTGCAGAAATAACTCACATTAAAAAACACACTAGAAAAATGAGACACTGTAAACCACTAAACCATTCATATTTAATTTTTCTATCTCTGAAAAATATACTGTTTGAATTAGTAGCGTTATTTCTCTTTCGAATCTAAAGTTAATAAAGAATGAATTACATGCTTAAGGGACAATATAAATTAAATATAACATGACAAAAAGTTATGCATTATGCCAGTGAATAACTTGAATACCAGGCAGGGGAATGCATATTGCAAGTACACTATAAAAAAGCATAAAATAAAACAAAAAGTGCACTACTCACGCGTGAGCTTTTTGTGGTTTTATTTTTTTCATCTGCTGCCGAACAACGTCTCTCTTAACATAGCCCAAGACCACAAGCACGACGAGGATGATAACAAATATCGTCAGCCCCACGATTAGAGGAACTGGGGAGTCGACGGTCATCGCAGTGACGCTGTTCCTGCTCACACCGCCTCCCGTCCAGGCCTGGATGATGAAGAAAACTAATCATTAGTAAATATTTTATCAGCATGCATTCACAAAAAAATATAACTCAGTACTCACTGCAGTGATTGACAGAGAGCGCAATTTCTCGTCGACGAAAACGTGAAGTCACGGATGGACAGACAGAGAGACGGACAGACGGACATGGCGAGCACAATAGTTCATTTTTTTCCATAAATGAGAAAATGCGCTAAAAATATTGGAAATTGAGAAATGATTTAATTCATATGGAATCAAAATTTAAACTTTACGAGCCTTGTTTTTATCAGGATTTAAAGTTTTACCACTCATTTTGAGTGAGAATTCCTCCATTGATAAATTTTTGAAATATTGTAGTCTTCTTAAGTTTTTTGTCTACCAGTAAGGATATCGAGACCCACCAAATGTATGACGAATGACGTTAATGGTGATTATGTAAAAGAAATATTGATTATCAAAACAGATCTAACCTCAGAACCCATACTTCTTGTCAGATTACACTTCAACTGTATCATGCAGTGATGAAAAAGACCTTTATACCAGAGATCTCCAAAATGGTGCGATTTAAATCACAATCGTGATACCACGGGGACCATAGTTGTACTTCATTAGTAATTGCTAGGGCCTTCTTTTAAGCGCAAAATAAAAGCAAAGATAGTTGATTGAGAGGAACAATATTACGAAGATCTGACCTCTACAGTAACGTTGTACGGTGTCTCGTATCGCAGGTCATCAAATACGCATTGGTCTTGCTTTGAAGAAGCGTTGTACGTCGCCACGATGGTATCGTCTTGGCGGAGTATGATTTGGTACCATAACAAGATTCCGTTCAGAATTTCCGGCTCAGACCAAAATATTTCCAGCGTCTTGTGACGTGCTTGGTACGGCTTGATACCGGGCTGAGAAGGAGCTGCGCAATAAATAAAGTTACACACAATCTTCTGAAAAAACTGTTAATGCTGATAAGTTGTCATAAGCAAAAATTTCTGTTAATAGTTGTATTGTCACGTATTTGATCAGCAATGAAACGAAAGTGCAAATTGTGTTCATGAAATCTGGATGGGTATGTACGCACGATTTTCTATTGTGATCATTAGAATGATATCACGATTTGAATATGATTGCGAATTAAGTTTTTACCCACCGTCCTGCAACGTCTGCGTCAGGAGGGGAGCTGCAGACGTGCCATTGCCGGCGCCCGTGGCCGCCGTAACGACGACGTTGTAGTTGGTGTAGGGCGTGAGCTGCACCAGCGTCACCTCCTCTGTATTGTTACCGTCGCCTGGGACGTACGTGGTGTTTTCTGTTCTGTTGTTGTCCCCCCAGAGCACCTCGCCGATATAGTCGACGAAGTAACCTGTTATCTCACACTCCGTGTCTGGCCTGTCCCATGTCAACGTCATTGAGCGACTTGCCAACGAGACGTCACTCAGGGATGTCACCGCTGGAGGAACTGGGAAATGAGAACATAACTAAATAAATATATTATACAAAGAAAATATGTTTATTCGAAACTTTTCAGTGGGAACATATATAATTACTTTCATCCGCGAGAGCAGTTCCTCATTAAACTCAACTTGACATCTAATTAAATTTAAATCCAGAATCAGTAAATATTCTCCTCACTTAAGCCCAAGAACCAGAGAACCATTAATAAGTTCATGAATCTGAACGTAACATCATGATTCTGTTGCAAATAAAAGCTAAAATAACCTTCAGTATCAGTCGTAGCGTTGATGTAGCTCTCCTCCCCATAGCCTGCTCCCGTTTGAGCCATGACGGTAATGTTATATAGGACGCAAGGGACGAGCTCATCAATGAGGAAGTTTGTGGTGTTGACTTCAGCTGATTGATTATCTCCTGATCCATCATCCCAAATTATCAGGTAGTCGCCCAGAATTCCATTCTCTTCCTTAGGGACCTCCCACGATACAAATATGTCTGTCGTACTCGTGAAGTTTGACATCAGGTTACGTACTTCAGAAGGATCTGCAGAATAACAAAATGACTGACTCGGGTCTGTTTTGTAAACAGTATTGTACAATTAACAGTGAATGAAATAACTTCAACGTCTCACTTTTGCCTCCTGTTAAATAAAGGGGCTATTATGCCGACTCATTTTATGAATACATTTGGAAATAACAACCATTACCAGACTAAAAACAAGCAATACCTTATGAAATTATGAGAACGAATGAGTGAAGTGGCTTTATAGTCATTCTATTTTTCGCGCTTGATTATCGAACACAGTTTTAAGGGGTTTTAACAATAAAATTACGCATGCATTAACTTCACATGGTCATGGTACAAATTATAACTATATATATATCAACAGGTCTGTTCAATTTATTATATAAGATGAATTAATAAAATAAACAATAAATCCAAAACTCCAAGCTTCTTTGAATGACCACACCGTAACAGGTATTTAATTCTCACAAGCTTCATCAGTGGTAATTTTTAAATTCTCAGAAGGCATTCCAGGCCCCGCTTCATTCGAGGCCACGACCGTGATCGTGTATTGTGTGTACGGAGTGAGACCGTCAATCTCGACATATTATATTGTTGTATGGATATCGCTACACTACTCGTATTGCTAATAATAAAACCCGTCTTGCCTTCCAACTGCATGTAAATTTATTACAGCTCACCAATTTATTACAGCTTATAATTTTAAAGTTAGCATATATTTTTCGCGCATGGCCACTAGGTCGATAAATTGTTCCAGTTAGGAATGTTTTTAAGTGTTAGACCCTGAAATTCGACAGGCACAAAATTTACTGGTAAAATAGATATTTAGAGTTTCATACGAGCAGTAGATACTTTCACAGGATGAGTGGAACAGAAGCTCAAGCGTCAGTTGTCTTGTGCTACCTTGGTGCATCGTCAACCACTTCTATATCAACGTTGGTTCGCATAAATTACATTCTTCTTTGAATAAATTAAATATTTGCTGGAAGTTTTTTTCAATTACTATATAGATAGAACTTAACATTTACATGCCTCTGAAAAGGGAGGTCATTTAATACATTAAGACATGTATTTAGTTTTTTGTTAATCCAAATCATTGTTTCAATGCATGCAATGTTTATTTGTAAAATTCGACAGCTTTTAAGTGCACTCTACCATTCATGATACATGAAATTTAGACCGATTTCTAGCGTTACTGCATAAATTACGCCCTATTTGAATACGTTGAGTGATTTTTACAGAATACATCCTTTATTTTTGATGGTGATGAGATACAATGTGATTCAAGCTTGGCTATGTAGGGCGAGAAAACCAGCCATATCGCACAGTGGTCAGGTTTACTGTGTTCTTTTTTCGCAGGAAATAACTTTCTTTTAATATCAGCATAATTTACCTCTATCTTATCTCCAGGATTTGTAATTAAATTAAAACCATTTCTGTATGGTATGGCCTAAATCAAAGCTTTAAAGTTTAAAACAAACACAAGCAATTTGCAGCACTCGTATCAAGGCAATAACTGATGCACAGAAAAAGATAAATTTTTTACTGAAGCTTACTACTCATGTCGCATTAAATGATAAAAATATTCCATTCAATGCATAAACTAATTATCTGATAAATAAAATGGTAGGTTTAAAACTGATAACATATATATAAGTTGTTTTTTTTTCTGTTAGCTGTTCTTAATATTTTTGTTGCGTTTCAGACTTTCTCAAAGAAGCAATAAGGTCATAGGATGATTTTTATTTTTGTCATGCGAAAAGTAACGTTTCTCGAAAGTCTCTCATAAAATCACTGAAATCAAGTACGCTTATTTTTACCACATTTGTCAGAACAACAACTGATTGCGTTGGTTAATAAGTCACTCATACACTTATCGTAATTTGGTTAATAAGTGCCCAAATTGAATTCTCATCATTATATTTCATGCAATGTACAAAAATAATTAACAATGCCAAGTTCCCTCACTTTAAATAACGTTTATAATTTATAATGCAGTAACGCTATGTTCAAATAGTTGACCTTCCGAGCAAGATACCACATATATATGAACATATTGTGTAATCATTAATAAGTAACGATAAGATATCAAGCTACTGTCCTATTACATTATCATCTGTTCGAATAAGAAAATCTGTAAATCAACAACTAGAATGCACTTTGGGCCGCGAAGGGGTCGACACAACTCACGCGCACGACCTGCCATGCCATCTCATATCTACTGGAAAACTATACTCGGTTGCAACTTTACAACGTGTTGCCGCCGGACCACATTCGTCGAGTATCAAGGGGCTCCTATAAATCAGGAATAAAAATTACCTGGCAACTCCAGCCTCCTTGAATACTGACTCAAGGAAAGTGAAATACAAGACAAAAAATAGCATGGCTGTTCTTTCAAAGAGAAATGAGAAATAAGTGATCGTTCAAGTGTCACGTGGCAAAAGAAAACAAAGTTTTTTTAGGAGCATTGCATGAATAGTAGCAGAAGACGAGAAAAATTAAAACAGCAATTTATATATGAGAAAAAAAATAATTTTTACATTATTCGAATGAACGCTAGACGGCTGAATAAAATAATGCACGCGTTAGACGCCAAGACTAATTTTCTCCACACCAAGTGATAAATTTTGTGCCTAATAAATAACTTATCCTTTCAACAGTAATATTCAACAATGGTATGTGTCCTACAATCGCATTCAGTTCGAATTTAGCTTTTCAAAGAATTCTCTATATCCCATTTTTCTACTGGTGAACATAAGTTGTAACACGCACTTATTATTTCCACTTTAAAACTAAGAACACGAACTTCCGGCCAAGTTATCGGAGAAATTAATCGTCGTTGATGAAAAAATTGAGCCGCTCACTAGTTCCTCGGTCATGGCTTCTTATTTACGAACTATACTCTATTGCTCAATTTTCAAGTTATTTACCGGTCCTTTGTTACTATGCATTAAAACTTCGTTTAAATACAATATAGGATGAGTAGTTCTGCATAGTACCCGATTATTAAGCGAGTTAATATTTATCATGAATGGCACGCACGTAATGCTGCACTCATTTGGGGGTCATGTCGAAGTTCTCATAGAAGTTCTCATCGTCGTCGACTTGATTCCCAGTCCAGTTCTCATATATAGCAGGTTCAGCGATGCCATTCTTGGGAGGAGCTGTAATAAAACTTCCGTCAAACTTTCACCGAAAATAATAAAAGTAGACTAGCAAAGAGAAGTCAATGTTCAAATTAAACTGGGTCAGCGTCTAATATTGCTATACAAATATTCCAACAGAGAGTGAAATGTGTGATAATGGAACCTGCATATGCTTATTCAATCAGCTAACGACAAATTTTTTTAATTCCACATCGATCATTACTACATGAGATTAATCGTTATTTGGTGAACAATAAAAATTAAAAACTCTAAAAAGTTTTCAGCAATACTTTATAGAAAACGATACAAAATCAGCAACCTCGTGACTCCTAAATGACCGTTAAATTTTCTTACTTGCTGAGAAGACGAAAAATTAAAGAACTAATATTGTTATGAAGTAATGAAGGTGTATATATGACAGTGAATGTGATGAACAACGCTATAACTTACCGTACTCTGGCAGAGGCCAGCGGTCTGGAGATTTTCGGAAGGCTTCGTAGCATTTGTTTACGTACAGGTACTGGTCCTGAAATCAAGCAGTTGTAAAATTTTTCTCGTAGTTTAACCTAAAGTTATTAATAATGGAAGAATAAAAGTGATAATTGTGCTGTTTGATTCCAAAATCCCTGATTGCTAAATCCCTAATAATTTATTGATATATCCTTCAAAATTCACTGGAAAGCCACCAGATTTCAAACCATCGAAACTACTATATCTTCAAGTGCCCCAAAAAACAATACGAATTCATCAATTGATTGCACCGACGGGACAAAAGCTTTTACCTTTGTTTGGACAAGCTTTGTTCTGGACTCTCGTAGTGCCAGCACGACGCTCTGAACGCTCGTCTCTCGTCGATGAAGCTTGAACAAATGACACAAGTTCCAGACAGCAATGAAGCTTCCCGTCCTCCCCACACCCGCACTGAGATTGGAAAAAATATATGCGGGTAAGTATGTAAAAAGGTATGAGATATTAGAACTTCGTAAACACGATCAACGAAAATGAGTGATTCGGTTTAAAATTTGACACAATAGCTTGTATTCTCATCTTCTTACTCCGCATTAGGAACGGTGCAAGTAACGAATTCGAGACCATTTTCAGTCGAGTATCGGACAGTCTACTAGCAAAATTAGATCATTCCTAGACTTAGCAACTGATAGGCCTTTCCCAAAAATTTATCCAAATTAGCCAGTATGCATAACCACCGTACCTGCGCAATGCACTACAATGTGCTGTTTGGCAACAATTTTCACATCTGCCAAGGCAGTCTTGACGATGCTGAAAATTCACCCAAATGAGCCTTTTGCAATAGCCACTGTACCTGCAATGCACGACAATGTGCTGGTTGGCAGCAGGTGTCACAGCTACCAGGTCAGTCTTGACAGCGCTGATGAGCTGCAGTAGACTTTCTTGGTCCTCCGGCACTCCGAAGTCTTTCCATGCCAGGAAATGGTACTGCAAAGTGGTCCTGGAAGGGCTTCTCTGTGGGGGAGTATATGAATAATTTAAGCTTCAGATATCCATTTGCATAGGTCTTTGCAAATTTCTCTTTTCACGTGTAACGAACAAAAATCAATCTTTATTTCCTCAAGTATGCTTCATATAACGTTATTTAAAGCTTAAGATCTCAAAAACTTCGAAAATGAGTCATATTACTTCTTTCTAATCTATGATATTGGGGCAGTCTTTTGTTTTAGTGAACGCGTATCGACAGCAATCTTATTTTGATAATACGATACAATTATAAATAAATGATACTGGTGCGCGCGTCGATTACGATTTACCATGATATTCAGGGTAAATCCCAATTTTTTTTAAGTTTACGTGAACAATGGATATGAAAGCATTTTTGTTTAGAGATGCTTACTTACCAAAATTAGGTTAGAACAGTTGTTAAATTGATTGTATGGTAGCTTCTGATTACTTCTTCTTAGGTGTCAATAACCTACATGCCTAGTCTGTGTATCTAGACGGGATACAAGATGTCTTTAGCTGCAAGCAGATTAAAAACTTAATTAAAAATTATCAACCAAGGAAGCCGCAATTAATATCACGTAAAAATTATTTTGAACCTCGCTACTGAACGTAAGAAGAAAAAAGTATAGAAATAGCATAGAAAAAATAGTAGTGAAAAATGTATTCCTTGTCATTAAAGTCAGCTTATCAATGAATACTTATAAAGGAGGCGCCAAACCAACCCTTATCAATAAATCAATGCGAGGCGCCAAACCGTTTTCAGGTTTATGCTCAATAATAGTTGGCTGCTATCATGGACTGCGCAACTCATTATTTTCCCGATGGCTATAACTTTACCAATATGGTGAGATTAAAGTTTAATATGAAACCAGACTGATAATTTCGTTACTGAAATGTGTATGAGGTACAGCTGATGTAAACTCAGCTGTTGTCAACACAATAAGACGTATTAGTGTAAAATTTAATACACTAATAAACACTCTAAATTGATCTTGCGTAAATCGATGCTTTCCACGTTGATTAAATGATGTGAATGACTGAATCATCGACTGATGCGTGCAGTGATATTTGTTGTAGGAGCTGCTGATAAATTTATTAATATATTTATTTAAAGTTCTCAACAGTAAATTCGCAACTACCTCAGTCGGCTACGACCATCTCAGTGTATCAGTTGCATTGTGCGTCGTCTTGCTGAGTTTTTATTTGAGAGAGTGAGGAATAATTTCCTCTGCTCATGTTTTGTTTGATGCAATTTCGTGAATGACTCATCAATATTTTGAACTCGATTAGAACTGTACTCTCTATCATCATTTTCAAATCTCATAGTATCATTAATAATTGAAATTGCGCTGAAATTATAATGGGAATTAATACAGGAATTAGTACTGATAATCCTCGATTTAGGACATTATTCCATTTGTGAACTTTATAGCCAATCAATTTCAAACGCTAGTAAGAACATAAATAAACATTGCAGCAACGATGGAAACAAACGCTTATTGAGTTCTATG